AATCAGTAAATGGCTTTTGATTGTATTGTGAATGGGCCAAAGGGCACAGAAAGGAAGGGCTGCAATTTTGGATTCTTCCAGACTGATGAAAACTGTGGACAAAGTTCTGAGTCAACCACAATTGTTGTCCTTGAGGCTGAGGGACTTTGCTGGAGCTCAAGAGCGCCATTGATGAATTTTAGAATTTTAGAATTCCAGCTACAAGGATGGAGTATTATATGCCTAGCACTGGGCTCCAGAGCAGCCAGCAAGATGAGCAAAGGGAAAATAAGCCCTCAGAAAAATCAGAAGAGAGAGAAAGAAGTGATAGCGATGGTTTCAGACGTGTTCTGGTATTGAGTATTCCTGGCGCACCTGCTCGTGCTGCAGGGAGATCCATGTGCCACACACTCTCCACACAGAACTCAAAGGTGCTTCTCCTGCCTCTAAACCAGAGATTTCATCAGCAGGGGAGGTGGAAAAAACTATTCACCAGCATACGTGTGTTGCAACTGTTGTGCTCTGCAGCAAGAACCACGGGCCGCACGGAAAATACGGGAACAGGGATGATCATCTCCTGCGCCGGGAGGAAGTGGCAGTGCGGTACAGCAGCGCTCCGGCTCTGCTCCGTGTGCTCAGAAGACTGTTTGCAACCTTATGACTAATTAATACTCCTTTGTTAGAGCACAATGACCTTTGTAACACCTGCACAGTAGAGGATGGATTCACAAAATACACTTCGCGTCCATCACTTCTAGAAACAAACGGGTGCAATTCCCCTTCTCGTTAACGGTGGAGAACATCAAGCATAAACATCTTCAGGAAGAGGGGTAGAGACAACCACACGAATTTCATTGAGCCTTTCCTGAGAAGAAGGGCTCACCAGGATGAGTTAGGCTTTCAGAATTGCATATTAGCTAAACAGAAGAGAAGGAATACCTTTGTAGAGCTGAGGTGGATCAGGAAGATAGGTACAAACATCTATCTCGTGGTGGCATTTCCATTTATAGCCATTTATTCCATAACTTTCACATAAAAGTAATTCACTGGGACAATTGGCAAACTTAAAATCTTGTGGGTTTTGTTTCTGTCTAATTAAGAAATAGGGAGAAAAGACATATAGTTATGGTATTTGTAATGGTGAGCAAGTTCTCTGTTTGGCCCTCTCAGGTCAGTCCAGCTGCCCCAGGTAAATTTCCCAGCAGAGACTGTCTCACCACCAAAATACAGATGACACTAGAGACCCAGACTGCCAGGCAAAGAAATTAAGACATTTTCCCTTTGCAGATCAAAAGCACGCATAGGTTTTGCATTCGGGGTCACGGAAGTATAAGAAAATAAGAGGAAGAATTTGCCTGAAGGAAATCTAAAGCTCAAGCAGGACTATCCTTTCCTGCTGAACCTAATATTCTTCAAAAAAAAAAACCCAGCAGGAGTTGTCACAGTCACTGAGTCAGCTACCTAGCTATTTCTAAATGATCTTTTACATGTTTGGATCTAAAATTCCAGGCACGAGGCATGATCTCTAAGGATACTGGTGAGCAAACACTGTGGGAGGTGAGGACAGAGCCAGGGGTTCCCTAGGGGAAAAAAATCCCCCACCACTCACGGGAGCATAAGGAAATGTAAAGTTCAGGGTCGCTCACGAGTCAGGGAAAGTTGGGGAGAAGCACAAAGAAAACGATCCCAGGAACTCCAGTTTCTTCACTTGGGTACCTCAAGCTATCTCTTGCCCTTTGTGATGCCATAGTGGATGTGGACGCCTTGATTAGTGAAATTAGTGAATTTTATGCTCAGGAACTCCAGTTTCTCCACTCGGGTACCTCAAGCTCTCTCTTGCCCTTCGTTATGCCATAGTGGACACCTTGATTAGTGAAATTAGTGAATTTTATGCCTGTGGTAGCACCTACGGATTGATTTGAACTAATCTAGCACGTACCAGCTTGCCGTGTGATTGGGACAGGGACTTCTGTCCCACACATCAGTGTCAAAGGCTGGACACAGGACAGTCTGCATTCCTGTGGGTCACATACTGCTGATAAGCCCATCATTTCTCAGAAATCTTATCTCTTGGTAGGTATTAAGGCACTCCTAGGGAAAAAAATGGAAGCTTCTCAGTAACCATATTTATGACCCTTGTGACAAACCCAATATTTATTCAGCTGGAGGCTACCAGATATTGTTTATGATACTCATATTTAAGGCTTAGGAATTATTCTCTTCAGTCGGGCACTGTATGCATTAGAAATTCAGCAGCTTTTCATTCACCTGCCTCAGTCTCCAAAACTAGGTCCTCGCACATAAATTGAAACAGCAGCTCCTCAATTTCACCCAAATCACAAGAGTTTACCATAAAACATGTGATCTTTTCATTTATGGCTCATCTTTTGACTTCTCTCTGTAACCACAAGAGGAATTTTGTCTTTGTTGAGTGTGGGGTTTTTGCAGGTCAAGTCTTCCGCTCACTACCTCTTAAATAACAAGTCAAAGCACGGGCTTGGTTGTTCCCATTCCTCCCTATCAAGATTATACTGTAATCGTGACGTCATATATGATAGCTGTGATACACTGAAGCCCTTTCTTTGTACTTGAATAGTCATGTACAAGAGCCACAAATGTCTTATCTGTCTGGACCCAGAAAGCAGAAATAAATAATACTTCCTTAAAACACAACAGGCAGGAGGTTCCCTGCAAGGACGACAAAGAATAACACCTCCATTGCACATACAGTACAGCAGCAATGACTTCATCTTTGCATGAATGAAAATCATTAATGAAATTAAGGACAAATAACAGTTTCCTGGGTTTATTTAGAAAAGAGTTCTATACTCCTCAGATATAGAGCAATTTATACTTCCATTTTCTTCTTGCATGCTGGCCTGAAGGCATTTCCATTGATGCTCTAATTTCATTACTGTGAGCAGTTTGCTGTGCATGGAAATAGTGTGTTGGGGGAACTAAAAAGCCCAGAGATAGGAATGAACAACCCAGTCTGTGCTGCGACCAGCAACAGTACAACACTTTGTAAAAAGAGATCACCTGGAGATGTGACAGAGGTCTACAGAATTATGAAGGAGCGGTGCAACCGGCAACAGGACACCACTTTGTAAAAAGAGATCACCTGGAGATGTGACAGAGGTCTACAGAATTATGAAGGAGATGGAAATCAGGGACAAGGATCAGTATCTAACCCTTGTGTTCCCATAAAAGCATCAGGAGGTTCAAATGAAGCCAGGCTCAGAGTGGGAGACTGGGGATTTATTAGGGATCAATCTCAAACACACTTGATGTTTTCTTAGGTGACCCTAGCCCCGTGCTGATGCCGTGGTTGAAGAGAGGACACTCACCAGGCAGAGCTCAGGTTTGGCACAGATGGGCTGGAATGGTGACAGAGGTCTACAGAATTATGAAGGAGATGAAAAGATGGCAAAGCTCAGGTTTGGCACAGATGGGCTGGAATGAAGTGCTTAGAGCTCCCCTTAGCTCACCCAATGTACTGGCAAAACAGGTGCTTAATTCCATACCTACACATCTTATGAGGCTACTTTTCAGAACAAATCCTCTAAGACTATCTGTAAACTGAATTGTGTAAAACTCCAGACACTGATAGGTACGGGAATATTGAGTTTCAGCTTGGCACACACAGACAGCTCACCCAGCAAGCTGAAAATGTACTGGCAAAACAGGTGCTTAATTCCATAGCTCACCCAATGTACTGGCAAAACAGGTGCTTAATTCCATACCTACACATCTTATGAGGCTACTTTTCAGAACAAATCCTCTAAGACTATCTGTAAACTGAATTGTGTAAAACTCCAGACACTGATAGGTACGGGAATATTGAGTTTCAGCTTGGCACACACAGATCTGTGTCCTTCAGGAGGGTCAGAAAACAATAAACCTCTATTCATTCATACTGGCCCTATGCTTTGTTCCTTTGACTGTCCCCACTGCCTGGCAGAAGAACAGTAATGGGATTCCCTAATGTTTAACCCAAAAAAAACCTCCACTTGTGTTTTAGTATTATTTTCTATAATTAATAAAAATGCTTGTGCAGCTCTGATTCCATCTGAATAATCCTCCTCCATGATCCCATCTTCACTTGTCCTTTAATTCTACCATAATCAGAAGAAATCTTCTCTTCATGGGGCCAAATTTAAATTTGGGTAAGTGCCTCAATTTATTTCAGAAGCAGAACCCTGCAGCCACATTTAGAATTTTCCTCTGCCCAGATTCAAAGCAGCAAACAGTTAAGAAGTTCTGGCCTCAGAAGAAGCATTCATCCTCAAAAACAATCCACCTGATTAGGCAAAGCAATTCCGCATATCCTAATAACATATTCTGTTATTCTCCGCTTCTCAATAGCACAACAAAGTCAGTCTGGATTCTGTTGGCCGTTTCAGTGGCATGAGTTTTTACTGTATCAAAAAGTACTGTGAGTATTTCTGCAGAACTTATCACTGTGTGTAAAGAAAGATTTTTTTAAATGTAATCGCTGCATATAAGGACAAGGGGAGCTAATTAACACCCAGTTCTAGTACCTATCATTTCTAGAAAGTATTAACTCCTACTTCTCTCATGTCTTAAAATGAAAGAAAATCAAAGGCCAAAGACATACAGATGAAAAATCTCAAATCAAATGTCTTCCATCAGAAGTGGAAATTTACAGAGTAAAATAGTAATAACAGCAAAAGTAGGGAGGTTCAGAGGAAAATGACCACAAGAAATAGAGTATTACAAAAACCCTATAGATTCCCCCCAAAATAAGTAGGGGGCAATTTTGCACATATTCTGTTTTTATATTTCTTTAATTAATACAGTGTTTCCTGCTGATGAAAAAAAGCCCTTTCGTGGCCATCCAGGGAAAGGGGCTTACCCACTCACCTGTGACTCACTGCACGGGGGCCACTCACAGCTCGGAGTTTCCCCTGGTGTGACCCACACATGGTGCTGGCGTGGGGGGAGCCTGGAGCTCTATATAAACACGGCAGGTCCCCGAGCACAGGCACTGGCCACCCCTGGGAGCTCACCTCACCACAAAACCCAGCCGCACAAGGAAGAAAACCACTCTTGCATCATGACGGGCAAGGCTGTGGCTGCTCTCCTGGCTCTTCTCCTGATCTCGGCTGAGGGAACAAAAGGTAAGGAGATCCTTTCTAAAGTCCTCCTAACTAATTGTGAGTGTAAATGCTGGCGGGGGAGATACCGTGCTGTCTTACAAATCACTCTTTGAACACCGTAAGCGACAAGAACATGTTGTTCTTCCTGTGGAAAGAGTGAAACATCCCACCTTTTTTTATTTATTTCTGGTTTCCCAGGTGAGGCCATGCCTCGCTCAGCCGTGGAACTGCGGTGCCAGTGCGTGGGCACCCACTCCAAGTTCATCCATCCCAAGTTCATCCAGAACGTCAACCTCACCCCCAGCGGACCTCACTGCAAGAACGTCGAAGTCATGTAAGTGCTTTCGCAAAATCCTCCCGGTTCCTTAACCGAGAAGGAAGCAGACTGTAGATGAGGGCTGATGTCAGCCTTCTCCGAGGGATGTGAGAGGGCAGCAGGCACGGCTGCTCCAAAAGGAGAAGGGCAGCACTCGCTGCACTTACAAACGATGCCCGACATGTTCAAAGCTGCCTGTTGGCTTTGCCAATCTCTGCTTTTTAAACACCCCATGCAACATTTCAACCTAAAGTCATCAGACAGCAAGTAACTTTCTACGAGTCTGAGTTCCACCAGCCTCCGAGCAGAGCCATGCTGAGCAAGGGAGCAAAACAGGAACTTTAACTGCTAGGTCAGAAACATGATCACGCTTCTACTTAAGTCAACGAAAAAACTACCATTCACATAAAAATCATATAACCTGGTCACAGTTCCAGAACTCTTACTGTAGCAAAATTCCTCTGGACTGGGCAGTACAGTGTCTGAATCTAGATGGAAAGATTTATCCCAGTTAAGCACCATCACAAATAGAAAGCAAGCTGGGGGAAAAAAAAAAAAGAAAGAGTCCTGCAAATGATTTATTGCGTTCAAACAAACAGATATGAAAAGATAGGAAACCATTTAAAACAAAGCAACTTTATGTTAGGCTACAGCCTCAGCTGACGCAGCTTAAAGTAAAGGAGAACACATAAGTGTGTGCCTGGAATGATGTGATGAGAGAAAAGGAGAATTGCCTCAAAATTCACTAAGTGGACCTTTTTCCTTCCTTTTTTCTGCACTGCAGAGCCACGCTGCGGGACGGCAGAGAGGTGTGCCTGGAGCCCACTGCTCCCTGGGTGAAGCTCATCATCAAGGCGATCCTAGACAAGTGAGTCATCCGTTCTCAATGATCATGGCTTATCAAAAATCGGGATTTTAAATGAGCCAGCAAACACATACAGCGCAGAGTGTTCAAAAATTCTGTCTCCTCAGGCGGTTCCTACCGTTTGTGTTCACTAACTGGGACAAACACTGATTGCTCTGAGCCTTAATTACAGCATGAGGTTCAATCCCTTGCTGTGCCCCACACCCCAGGTGAAGTCAGCCCCTCCTCTTGTAAGGCACAAACCTATTGAAAACCTGTGGCTGAAGGGCTCAGGAAACCCAGGTGTTCACCCGCTGGTTGTCTCTTGCTGGCAGTGGTAGAAAGCAACAGTCAGTTTTTTGAAACCAACGGTGTTTAGAGGAGGGGGGTGGAAATCAGGCATCAAACTGTGGGAGCCCCCAGTTACCGCCTCCTTGTGAGAAGGTGACAACGTGCCAGCATCCCTCAGTTCAGGAACAGCTCTTAAGGAGCTTGGACACAGAGGAACAAACCCTTAGTGGTGGGTTCCATCCGATTCCAGCCAGTGATACCCGTTCCGTTCTCTAATTGTCTCTTTTCCATTTTGTTTCTCTCTAGGGCAAACGCCAACCCTGCGACACTGTCCTAAGACGAAGAAGAAAAATGTCCGAACTCTTCCAGGAAGGCAAAAAACGGGAGAGATGCTCACCCAGCTTCTGGCAGCTCAGCTCCTCCTGCCTCCTGCACTCACCTGCTAACAGCACCCAGAGCGTATGGACTCCCTGTCTCTGTAGCTAGCGGACAACAGCACTTTAAGTCTTTTAAAGAGGTCCCTCTATATAGGAGAGAAATGTCTAACACAACAAGAAGCAGGCAATAAAAACGGCTTGTGGAAGGAGATGGAGATGATTCTGGAGGGGGTTTTGCCAGAGGAGTGCAGTGCTCTTCAGCACAGCTTTCACTAAATGACACCTTCCCTGCTGGCTAACAGTTTAGGAAAAATGGGTGTTCTCTCCAGGAACATCTGCTGTACCCGGGACACTGCACCCAGAGCGGGCCACTGCCTGGAAGAGGGAAACTCACAAAATTAGGAAGCCAAAATTCTGTTCTGAGACATCAGTCTTTGTGCACTCGTTTTCAAGACACTGTTTCTTGTGAATTAGCGTTGTGAGGCTATAAACATATGTTTTAATGCCATCTCTCAGTTAGAAAAAAAGCACTTTATTTATTTAAATAATTATTTATGTTTATTTACTTTTGCATATTTATTTACTTTTGTATAAGAAAGCAGATGGTCTTCAATATTTATTTATTTATTCATGGGAAATATTTATTTATATGTGCCTAATAAATGCTTGTTGAAATGTTTTCACTTCAATATTGTGTTATTCATTTCCCCATTGAAATACAGAACTGAAAAAGAGGATGCATTTTCTCTCCGTTTGTATCACATACTGGGCTCTCAGAAGGGCAAGCAGTGTCTGGGTTGTGAGAGGCACTTAATGACAACTAATGACAAATTCTTGCCTCTTGGGAGGGTGGATGGTTTCCTATAGGAGGAATTATAAAAATGATCTACTTTCTTCCTGCTTCCTTGCCAGACTCAAGTGTTTTCAGAGGTCACAGATAGAAAGTAATGAAGAAATAATGGTTAGTCAGAGAAATTCCAGGGTCATAGCAGCAGTGGTGCTCAGACAGCACGTCAGCTGAGAATGTGGCACTGAACAAAGCTTCTCGTTATCTTAAATCAGCGGGGAAATCTGATAAACATTAAGGAGGTCACTGAGCATCCTCCCAAATTCCAGTGAGGAGGGAGGGCGACACGAGGAGCAATCCTAAGAAATAGAGCTCCGATTGCAGGGCCACGCATCTGCCTGAGACACAGCGATGGACAGAGAGATGGCTGGAATACGAGCAGCAAACATTCCAGAAAATGGGAAAGTTGAGCAAATGTTCCGATATTTGGTTTTCTTCGGCCTTTGCCAGTCAGAAGCTGCACAAACAGCTCGTGTTTGTTCACAGTGCAAGATAAAAAGGGAGTTTCTGGTGCTGTTTGAGGAAGCTCTTGTGCAAGATAACAACTATTCCAACCACTTTGCTCCCTCTCCCCATCTCCGTCCCTGTCCCACCCTGCCAGAGCCCATCCCTGGAAGGGAAGGGAGACAAAGTGTCTCCAGGGACAGGTTTTGCTCAGACTTGCCTTATAACACTAAGCTTTCCGGTTTTCTGGGTGATGTTTACAAGCTGGCTTCTTTCAGAAATCGCATTTGGAGCTGAGCGTGTCGGAAATATCAGCCAAGAATGGGGAGAGGTGGGGAAGAGCCCCTTTCTACGCACGCCCACAAAGGTATGTGCCTCTCCTGAAGGACTGGCACCGGGTTTAGCGCTACACAGGCACTTACAGTAACCTTTGTCACCAGCAAAATCCCAGGCAAATTTCTGGGAGCTGAATCATGGCCAAGGAAGGGCTCTTCTTGTAAATTCTCCTCGGTGATAGCTGTGCTCCCAGGACCCCAGGCCATGCATCCGCAGAGCAGCTGAGCCATAGCCCTCCTTTCTCCGTAGGGTATTGCTCATCTGTGAGACAGGCTGGCTAGAAATGGTAAAATACTGCATTTCTTTTCTGTGCACACTCACGAGACACATTTCTTTGGAACACAACCACCCTCACGCTTCCAAAAACATGTTTCAGAGCTGGCAGAGGCTGCTAAGAGAAGCACCGCAGCTCTTCTTGATGACTACCTTTGTCAAACGTGGGCTGCTCTTCCCTGTTGGCCTCCATGAAATTACTAATTCTCCTGGCAAAATACCTGTACGCTGAGACACTGGTTATGAACTAGGTAGCAATCTTATCTAACATTTCCAAAGTGCTGTCCTGCTCCCCACTGAGCAAGGCCAGAGACTATCTATGTCCAGGATAAACTGCCATCTCCCCTGCATACAATGCCAAGGCTCTCAGTTGGCAGGGTCCTTCTTTTCAAAACCCAATTGCTTTCTTAATTTTAGTAAAGTACAGAAATTCACTTGGGCAACATATTTTATCAGGTCACAATTTGGTCCAGTTTCTTTCCTTGAGACCACCTCTTTTTCCCCTCACAAAAATAAGAATATCCCATGTCCCAACCATACACACTAGAAAGGCATTCCTGAGGAATACTTGAGAGGCTTCACTTACGAGATGTTTTAAACACCTATCATTATTCTAGATGCATGAGGTTAGAAAGAAAAAAAGTAACCTCCTAAGTACTTATTTTAATCAGGTGTTATTATGGCTCTTATTGTCAGATACTTTCTCTTTTCATACTCTGAACAAATGAAATTTTCTGAAGAGCTTAAGTGACTTAGGTGACAATGCCTTGGTCATTGTAAGCTCATCATTTCCTGTTCAGTGACTAAAGGAGATTTTCAGTACAGAATTAAGCATCTAAATCCCTTTAGTCAAACCGATAAAGACAAATTCCATTCAGAGAACAACAGCAACTACTTATCTCTTGCCTTCAGAAGACACTGGCTAAACAACTTCATTGGAGTCACACCAAAATATAGTCCAAGAGACTGGGATGAAAAGTTCCCCTAATTAAGTTGGCTAAAAGATTTTGCACAAGGCAATGAAAAGAGCTGAACAGAAAGTCCACATTCGGAAGTGGGGGGAAAGTCTCTTTATTTCAGGTTGGGGGGATGCCTGGCAATGCTGTATTGGTTTCCCAGTGCAAGCTCAGCATTGCTGCTTAAAATTGGTGTCCTGTGAGGATGTGCAAACAGAAAGTGACGGATAATAACCACAATTTAAAGAAATGATTAAGAAGAAGCAATTTAGGGAATTCTGAAGTGCTACTGAACGGCCCGCGCAGAGGTTTGGGTTCCTTTTGCAACACTCTCACGTGTCAGGAAACCCGTGTGTACAGAACCCCCACGCTGTGCTGGAGAGCACTTGTTCAGCACCTTTCCAGTATAAACCCTGGTGGGAAAGAGAACTGGAGCTGGACCTCTGCCAGGAAGAAAGCTTCTGTGCAGCAAGGGATGGCAAACCTCTTGCTGTTGCTTTGGTTCTCTGTCTGATCTTAATAGTGGGGTCAGAAGGTAAGAAAATGATTTCTTAAAAATCACATAATCAATAAAGAACATAACATCTATATTTATACACTATTTTATAAATATAACTATGAATATATAATACATATGAAAATGGAAGTGGGCTTCTACTATGTTAATGATGACTTTTTGCAAGAGATGTGCATCTTCAATGAACTCAGGAATATTCAGAAAACTCAGAATTATTCAGAAATAAAAAGCACCATTTGTTTCTGCATCTGTTAGGATGTTGTGGCTGGTTCTGGGGGTAAAATAACTTCTGTCAGGAAATCAGTTTATTCCTATGCCATAATATATGCTTTACCCTAGATTTTAAGAAATGTTTCAGTTAATACAGGACCTTTTTTCTAAACATGCCCATACAGTTCTTCTTTTCCAAATGTCAACTTTCTCCTATTTGTACTTTAATTCTTGGTAGGCAGGATGATGATACTGCTTCCTCAAAGCAAGAGTTATGCAATTTGCAGAGGAAAATAAAGAATCTGAGCAGAGGATCACGGCAGAAACCAGTAAACAATATGTGGACATAGATAATGACGTTAACCTACTTTGTTCAAGTGATGCAATCTAGGTGTAGAATGTGGCCAGGCACAAATGAAAACATCTAAGTATTTTCCCTTAGAAATACAACTTCAACTTTAAATGCACCTGTATACCAAGAGCTCTGAAAATGTACCTGCTGCTCTTGTGCAGATGCAGCTAATTTTATCATCTCAAACTCCTCAGCAAATTAGAGTGTCTGAGTAACAAGAATAAGGCTGACAGAAGGGAATACTCTTTGCTGCATAGGAGCAAATAATGAGATTGTTCATTTACCCAGACGTAATGCGGTTTTGTTCTACAGGTAGAGCCTGGCGAGGACGGAGGACAAAGGCTTCCAGTGCCTGTGCAGAAGCACCCAGTCCAAGTTCATCCCTCCCAAGGCTATCCAGAATGTGAGACCGAACCAAAGAGGACCTCACTGCAAAAATGTGGAAATCACGTGAGCACTTTTGCAAAATAGCATCTTGTTTTCAATGGGAGGAAGTGAGTTGACATTTCACACCCCAGTTACTTATTTACGTTGGGTGGAATTGCAGATCCCTCGCAAAGCCTCCTCGACACAAAGTATACGGTGTTAGACCTTCTGTCCAAGGGAATGAGCTAATTTCCCACCAGTGTTACAAGCCACTTCCAGACAGTGTTTTAAAAGTCTCTCTGTGCTAATATCTTAACTATCGCCAGCATCAGAGGACAGAATTAGATCCCCATAACACAGTGAAGAGCACAATTAATACTTTAGACGATGAAGAGTCAATCAAAGATATAGACTTGATCATCCTGAAATGAATTCAGTTTCCACTAAGTTGTTCTGCACGTGGAGGAGTCTGAAACGCCGCGAGCTATTCCCCGTGTCAGAACTGTGTATGGAGCACTTCCCCACACGTGGAGTGTGGCACTTACATTGTAAAACCCATGTGAGTACAAAGAAAAAGACACAGTAATCTTCAGTTAAAATCACATCAGGAACTAGTCGCATGAATGGGCTCAATGCATTCATGTAAACAGAAGGCAGCTCCCAGGGTTTATGTACTTTCACTATGGTTTCATAAGCAAATAATACCTGTCTTGCCATACCCTCTGTGCAGCACCGTGTGTCATCCAGTTCCACCTCACTAGCGATCGGCAATTTCAGCCAGGTTTGCGTTAAAAAAAAAAAAGAAGTTTCCAAGATAATGAAGTTCCTGAAAGATCTGCTAAACCATGACCAGATAGAGAACAGAAACCAAATAAAATATTCATCAGCCTCATTAAAAAGATTGCAACATAAACACTGACATCGACACCATTCATTAAAAAAAAAAAAACAAACTTAAATGTCCTACTATAGAAAATCTATAGGAAAATCATTTTTCCCTTGTTCTCTCAGAAATTCTACCTGCGAAATCTCAAACAAGTTTAATAAGCCAAAGCACGTACCATGTCCTCCAGTTACCTAATGGGCAAATAGCTAAGATAAATGTCAGATCATTAGGGGAGGGGGGATCCATCTGCCCTTTGCTTGGCTGTGTCTCCCTCGGCAGAGCCACGCTGGAGGATGGCAGCCACGTGTGTTTGGAACCCTCTGTGCCCTGGGTCTGCCTCATGGTAAGGGCTATTTTGGCCAGGTGAGTTTTCTTCTTTCCTATTTTTCTTCTAAAGCTATTTTTAGAAGGCATATTTTACTTTCCCGGTGTG